GAGGTCAGGTCAAAATTTCGCCGAATCTAAAACGTAGAAAATGTGAAGAGTCTGTACTTGTAATTAGTTATTCCGTTCAAAGTTTTTGGATTTGCAGATACAGGGTGACTCAAAACAATTAATGACATGCGTGTATTTATTTTACTCATTTAAGCAGGAACTACATAATCGAATACTTTCAAATCTTGGAGATATTTTCAAGTAATGATAATAACAGAAAATTTTTGATCAAATTGTATTTGCTCATCCCACCCTAAAAAATTGATGACGTCACCCCAAAATTTTGCTGAATAAATCCTAATGTACAAAATATGATGAGTCTGTACTTGTGATTTATCATTCCATTCATATTTTTCGGATTTGCGTATATTTTGCAGTGACTAAAAAAAAATATCATTTTATTTCAGGAGCGAGGGAAATTCTGTCGAAACAACTTTCGACCATTTTTTTTTATATTTGATCATATGTAATATTTGTTTTCTATAGGTATTTATAAAAAATATAAATAAAACTGTTCTGTAAAATTGCATTTTTATGTGTAGAGGGGGGGCGCTTAACGCAAGGTTCGCCTATACCTAAATATTCTCTGGTTTCGGCACTGCATATCACACACCAAATCTCGAATCAATATGAATATCATTAAATATAAAACTGCATTACACTAAAACACTCTTTCAGCGGTTTGCCACGATAATATAAAATCCTCTTCAACAAATACACATTTATTTAATCATCAAATTAATATGAAAGTTTTATAACTTCGTTTTGAGGTTGCTTTTAAAACAATCGATACCTGTACAAAGGTATTATTAGTTAAGCGAATTTTACCCTTTGATTATAAGAAGTTTGCTCGATACCGTTTAATTTTTTTCTACAACTTGAAAAATAATCTTCATGAATTATTCCCAGGGCTTGGAAAATATAAACGGCTTGTTGTTTTATCTATAAATAAAAACGACCAGACTGAAACGGATTGTGCTTTTAACATGACACAAACCACTCGCCCGAAAATTCAAATCAACAGTTTTTTTTTATATACAATTATTTACATTTTTCACATATGTTGCAACTACAAATGCAAAAATATGACAGACGCATAAAAAATTCTATACCTATGTAAATATTAAATAAGAGCATATTTTTACTTTCAGAGCCTAAACTCAGTACGAAACAATAGTTGGCCCGTTTCCGTATGTTTGTCCGTCTGTTTGTCCGTCTGCCATCTATCCGGACTTTTATGAGAAGGATATTCTCCGAAACTACTGAACCGGTTGTTAAATTTTATATGTGTATTACGATTATCGTGTAGATGGTCAAAATTTTGCTAATCATCCCTACCAACAATTTGTTGACGTCATCTCCAACATTTACAGTAGTAAATATTATTTAAATTTTATAAAATGAGATACTCCTGCACATGTGGTTTAGGAATCCTTGTTGAATTTTTATCCTAGACAATAGACATTCAGATTTTTGCTGCTCTGAAATTCCTTAATAAAATTAAAAAAGGTTATTTTTTTAAAAGTTGTGGATTTCTAAAGATTTTGACCATGATTCCGCGGATCCATATAGAAACTGTTGACTCTGATTTTATATAAAAAAAAAAAAAATTTTTGGTGTTATATATTTAAATATTATAGGACTGCAGACTCCTCCATGTGTGATTCATGAATCCGTGTTGAGTTTTTACCTTTAACATCCAGATTTATGGAAGAAAACATTTTTGTATAACATTTTACAATGTAACTGATATTGCAAAAGCCGAATGCTGTGAAATCGTGCCTTTTAAGATTATTTGCAAGCCAAAAACCGTGTAATGAGTAATTTTTCTAAGCCAGAAAATCTATTTTTATTTGATTCATTTTCTATAAATTTTTGATTTTTCAATTTTTCGATTCGCAGTTGTTCGTGTTTTCAAATTTTGGTTTTTTCAATTTTTCGGTTTTACGGTTTTGATGTTTTTAATTTTTCAAATTTTGCGTTTAAATTTTTTAACTTTATGATTGTTAATTGAGGGTATGTATTAATTTTGACAATGACAACAAAGCACATTGGTATCATTCGAATGTTGTTGTTTTCGCCACGCCAGAGTAGTCATTGGAACGAAGAAGGGGTGGGTGGGCGGGGCTATTGCTTGCTTATAAAAGATTCTATACGAAAAATTCAAACTTAATACCGCCCACCCACCTGTTCTCTCGTTTTTCTTATTTAGAAATAAGAAATAAATGTTATAACACATAAGCAGCATAACAAAAAAATACGATTAACGCTTTTTTTAACAGCCTACGTGCTATTAGTTCCCATTCCCAATTTACAAAAGAATATATAATTCACCCCGCCCACCCTCCCCGCCCCCCATTTCAGTGATACAATTTTTTTTTAATTTTTATTTTTAAATTTTTTAACGTTATGATTGAGAGTATGTATTAATTTCGACAATGACAGCAAAGCACATTGGTATCATTCGAATGTTGTTATTTTCGCCACGTTTATTTACACGTGTTGACTGAGGAGTTTTTAATAACACCCATTTTCGATTTTTTTTAAATTATACAGTTTTTTGGTTTTACAATTTCTCAGTTGTTCGATTTTTTTTTCCAATTTTTTAATTGTACAATGTTTCTATTTTCAATTTTTAGTTTTCAAAATTTTGATTTATCAACATTTGATTTTTTCAGTTTTTTAAATTAATGTACAATTTTTCAATTTTGTAGTGACCTCGATTTATCAATTTTTTTTCAAATTTTCCATTTGCAAATTTTTTTTTCTTCAATTTTTCGACTTTACAGTTTTACAATGTTTTGAATTTTTATTCCTTAATTTTGTAATTTTTCGGTCTCCCAGATTTTTGATTTGCAATTTTTCGATATTTCAATTTTGCACTTCCTCAATTTTTCAATTTGTAGATATTTTAATTTTGCCTTATTTCAATTAATCGCGATTTCAATTTTAATTAATTTCCCAGGGTTTAATTTTTAAAAATTTTCAGGATTTTACAGTTTTTGGATTTTTCAATTTTTATATTTAACTAATTCATTTATAATTGCTTTCACCGCGTGTATTTATATTGTGTTGACTGACCATTTTATTGATAGCTGCCCAGTTTTGAGTTTTTAAAAATTCTTTAGTTTTCCAATTGTGCAATTTCTCGATTTTCCGATTTTTGTTAGATTTTACAGTTTTTCGATTTGCAATTTTTCGAATTTGTTTTAAATGTTTCCAAGTTTCTATTTATCAACACTTGAATTATTCAATTTTACGGTTTTTTGATTTTACAATTTTTTGCTTTTAAGTTTTCTAATTTTCAAGATTTAGATTTTCGTTCTTGCAGATTTTCGTTCGTCTAGTTTTTCGATCTGCAATTTTTCGTTTGTTGGATTTTTCAGTTTGTAGATATTTTAATTTTCCTTTTTTTAAATTAAAACGATAATTAAAATTTTCATGTCTGCGATTTTTTGATTTGCAGTTTTTCTAGTTTTCAAATTTTAGTCTTCTCAAATCTTAGCTTTTAAATAATCAAATTCTCGTTTTTCTATTTTTAAATTTTGCACAAAAAGAACAAGAAATCTAGCAACTGAAAAAACGGAAAAATAGAAATCGAAAAACAGAAATTTCGAAAAATTGAAAAGCAAAATTTTAAATTTGTGATTTCAAAAAAATTGCGACACGAGAAATTAAGAATATTGGAGAACGGAAAAATTAAAAATCGAGGAATCGAAAATCGAAAACTCAGAAAGTTAATAATCGAAAAATAGATTTATTGAAAAATTCGAAGAGTTGCATTACGGACAGCCTAATTATGAAACGAATCAGTTTTACGTACACTACAGAGGCAAGATTCGAGTCCGTCTCTGTGTAGTGTGTTCAAGGGCACTGCTTAATTATACACAGCGAATACCCACATTCTAAGATGAGAGTAACAATAATTTTTCACATGTATTTTTGAAATATTAAAAAAAATGTCCAGGAATATACCGGTCAAAAATAATAAAAATAATAATACAGCGAAAATTCAGCTGCCTCATAAAACAAGCCGCTCCTGTTTGAAACATTGTACATTGTTATTCAAAGTTTGTCCGCCATCTTATATTTTTGCTGAATTTCTTCAAACTTATGAGTGTTTTTGAGAAAAAAACACAGTATGAATTAATCAGTCAGTCCTTTCCTATGCGTTGAGGACACAAAATCAACCAAATTACATTTTCGTTTAATCGCTGATGTTTGTGCTAGTGATCGAATTGAATCGAAGTATAAACATAAACAGTTGAAGTTAAGCATATACTGAGAAACCGGAATTGTCTAGATTTTTTCCCGTTTTTATTCAAAATGCCAATGTCGCTAGCAAAACTGAAAATAATAATAGTAATGATAATACCCAAACAACATCTGTCTACAATACCACAGGCGCGTGGAAGCGGTTTTCAAACAAACATGCCGGAGTGCAGGGTTACCAATTTTTTCGTAATTGTGTAACTAATCCATACATCGTGTTTAGGTTAACTTCGAAAGAAGTTTCTCGTACAAAGTAATGTAATTTATGAACTGACACACTAATGGTATATATTAACTCCCCAAACAAATCTGTTTGTACATCGTGTTTACGTACTTACTATATTTACCTGTACGTGTTATCACAATGAAGTCCAGTTATACTACAATGTGATGTCTAAATCTCGCCCATGAAAAGATTATTTTACTAAATCGTCTATTAACCCGGAAAACAATTTTGACGCTTGGGTCACTCTTGAACTGGAGTTTGCTTTCGTTTGAACGAAAGAATCAAGTCGGTCTTGGAAATGGATGTAGATAAAAGAAAAAGGATCTAGGGAATAAGGAGGGTTGTAGGTAAGTAAAAACATGTGAGTGTACGTAAAGGTCGAGTTGTTTCCTTCTTGTTTATGTTTTAAAGCCAGCGGATGTTGTAAGTAAAATGAGGACAAGCTAACTGTGCTCCTTTTTGAATTTCGAGTTTAAGTGCAGTAGTTTCTGACAATTGCAGAACGAAGCATGTCGTTGCGGTGTGTGTTCATGTGTGCAGTGGTCATTATTTGGCACCGCGGTAGGTATAGAGGGTCGGGCGTGACATTAATAATGCGAATTTGAAGGGTCGTGGCTATAGGCAACCAAACATACTTTTCGGGGTAACGCAAATATAAAATTTTTTAGATTGTAGAGTTAGTGGGTGGGAATTAAGGTGGAAGTGCCCTTGCATTTGCTGCTTACAAACCGTCAAGTCACCCAACTCCTAAATTATTACAGCAATACGACACGCGTACGACGGGGCTCGAATTATGACCCACACTCTCCGCATCGTTAGCGCAAAATATAGGGGATTTTGCAAAACTTCTTAATTAATTACTACGTCAAGGCCGGGTGTGACGTAAAGAAAATTACTGCATCATCTCACTCTGGAACAAATTTGGCAGCAAGCGATTTTTAATTAAATACGTTAAACATTAAAACGACCGTTCATTTAAATAATATACTTTAGCCACATTTTACATTTATAATTTAGGGGTGTTTTTCAACTGGTGAATCTTGATAACAGGCGAATAATATCACGCGAACTATTCAATATTGCTTGGTAATGCAACGACCGGCTGACCGATCCATAAACAAACAAATCGACAACTTTACGACACCGCTGATTTTCGAACAACACTTGTTCCATAAAGTTGCTGCCAAAACGAAAATTGATGGTGGTTCACAATTAACCGAAACACAGTTGAGCGAACTGGATTTGGTATTTGTTGGACGTGAGTACGTACGCGGTAGTGTTACGTCGATACCAGTGACATCTACGGTTTTTTTTAATAGAGCGAATGTTGATGAGCTTTATGTACACTAAACATAAAAGCGTGTGTTTGCTGTGAAAAATGTGCACCAGGATGGCACCAAACTTACGCGCACATTAATAAATAACTCTGGTTAATCTAAAAGTCAAGTTTGGGCAAGTTAATATTCCGGCAAACACAGAGTAGAAAGTTAAGGTTTTGTAATTCAAAACATGTACACATTTACAGTGCCTTCATAAACAAATTTTATTTTTAAGCCGAAATGTGTCTATGAATAAGTCTGGCAACATTTTAGCGGTTAACCATAACGGCGTTTATTTACGTAACATTAGTTAGAAAGTAAATTTAGAACACTAGTGGCGTAAGAAAAAGTAAAGTAGTGCATCCTTAATGGAATTTACTGTTTTACAGCTGCTTGAACCTTATTACGGAACATTAAAGTTAGAAATTTACTTTTACACAAATATTCTCGGCTAATTACGGATACGTTAGTTCATTAGCATGAACATAACCTCAAACTCGGCTCGGATTTTCCAAGAGGATTACACATAAATCGCAAGGAACCTCGCATCGATTTCTCCGGCGAACGCACTCAAAAATGTTTCGAGTAAAATAACTGAGACGTAAAGATTTTAAACTGTTATCTCCGTCATATAGAGAATTCCGTCTTTCACTGCGCTAAAGTCCTCTTTACACCACTTAAGGCTCTCGTAATCCACTTGCTGTTTTTATTCGGATTGGACGACTTCCACCCTGCGGAACTCCTCGTACCGTCTTTTTTAAGTCACGTAGAATAAACTCGCTTAACCTTAGTGTCATAAAAATTTATAAAGACCATGTGACATGAGCTAAATTGCAAAATCCTTCACAAATTGACGAGAATGGAAACGCAGATTTCGGCAATAAAACGCACAACATACTTGTACAACCTTAGGCTTAGCAAAATTGCGCGAATTAAAATTTTGTTTGCTTCAGTGAGCGCTTCACAAATGTAGTAGGCTCTGTATTAAGGCTGTTGCTACGATGAAGCGGACAAATAGTGCCTACTTAAGCTCCTCAAAATTTAGTGACAAATACTATGTCTTTCTTAACAATGTTGATTTTTCTCCCAAAAAAAAACTTAAACAAAATAATTTTGTAATTTTAAAAAGTACAAAAATAACACTATACAAACATAGTTTGATCCTTCCTCTTTCAAATTTATGAAAATCTCTGAAGAAACAATGCATAATAAAACAGCGATTAGTTTTTCCGTGAGACCTGCAGGCAGTTATTTTATCGTTGATTCTTATAGAGAAGTTTTCGATTTCAGTATCGCAACAAGTACATACGCTCGTTTAGGTTAACCATTGAGTCCTCGAAATGTAGTTATAATGGTAGTAATAGCACCATTATCCTAACCTCACAAATTAAAACTCCGTAATTCGGCTACTCTCTGTCAGATAGGTGACATGCCAACTCCTCGCAACTCTCAGATCGTCGTTGCTATACGAAAAGAGGCTGCTTATTAATTCGCACTGTGTTGCAGCAAACATTTTGTTAGCTTAAACTACGAACAAATAAAATGGTAATTAGTAATTCAAATTGAGCTCAAGACTCGGTTTAGTTAACAAACTCTAACCACCAAATAAACTATTTGCGATTTAGGTCTGGTGAAGTATCGAACGTTGTGGGGAGAAAATGAGGATTGGTTCTGGTGGTCATTATGATGAGAATTTGATTGCCAGAGGTGGCTGTGACAAATCTTCGACGTATGTATCAGGTCCGATGGCGTTTCCAGGGACACATTTATTTCAAGCAAGGTCTATCCAAAAAAGCAAAAATCATTTGTTCGTTTCGATTCGTAAGTGGGCGGAAATGAGTCAGTTCGTGCTTTTATTTTTCAACAATATATGTTGAATACTCGTACGGCTATAGAATTATAGTTGCAAAACTCACAACAATCCGTGCTTAGTTTTTGTAAGCGGCTAGTTTAATTTAAATTCCGGCTTGTTCATATTTACAAAAACTTTACGCTTTTGGGTTTATCTAGGCGCATAACTAAATCAGCTGTGAACACGTCCATACTACGAACAAAAAATGTGAAAGAAAGTTCAGCAAAAGCTAAATGAAGCGATTAGAGCTTAAATTTTGTTTCTTTATTTTATAGAGACGATGCGAACTAAAATTACGTTCTTTTCACTCTTATTAGTAATTAGAGAACGTGAAAAACGGTCTATGTACACAAAAGCGTTCGTTTAGTGAGTGCAGCAACGGTTTAACGCCGAAAAAATTAATAACTGACAAATACACGTCTGAAGTCAATTTAGGAAACGAGTCTTTTGTTTTTACTACTCTATACAGAGCGTTCAAATACAGAAAAAATCGTTTTGTTTGTTTTGGATAGATTGATTCATGTGAACGTGTAGAAAATAGAGCCCGCCTTTCTACTCAATTCAAGGTCAACAGAAGCCTCGCTTTCTACTCATGTATATGTTACGCTTAATAATGGAACAAAGCAGCGACAGTGTTCACATCAGTGGTTTACACCTACCAAATCGAGATTTTGTCTTACACTCGCGATTCTCTTTCTGGTGGATACATTTGGATTCTTAACTAGACCTGAATCTGACATCTTAATAAGTAGTGCGAATTTATGAATACAGAATGGTAGTTAGGCAAAGTTAAATTAGTTTTTATGCATGTAATTAATAGAAGGAGTCTTTTCTTTGTTGGAAGGGTTACAAAGGAAACGGTTCCAGAATCACTTTCAATTAAATATCCTTTATGTAGGAATAATAATCTCTGTTTTACACAGCTAGAATTCATAGATGATTTTATGCTTCAAAGCTCGACGAAATTTCAATTCCGCATGTATATGACTGGAAACTGAATTAATTCGTATTATTTGAACAATATGTGATGATAACGATTCAAACCATTTGTATATTTCCTATAGAGCGTAGTAAAAACCAACTTCTGACCCTCGCCGCATCCCGACTTCAATAAAAATTCTGTTATGACGATAACGTGTCACCGACTACCGCGAATATTAAAAAGTGGAAATTGGTAACTTTATTATTGCTTTCATGGAGTTTTTCATGGTGTTGTTATTCCATTGCGCCAGAGTCCACAGATGATGAATCCGTTACAAAAATAACACATTCTATTTAGTAAAGGTCACGCGTGAAATCCGCCCTGGCCTTTACTTAATTAATGCTCGAAGACACCGAACGCTGCATCGTGTTTTCGCCAAACCAAAAATTCGACGCTTTTAAAGCAAGAAAATGCGTTGCAACTTCGGCCGCAATGTAACCAAAACTTTTACGAAGTTTACAGACAGGTAGATTAAAAGTACGAAATGTTTCGTTAAAGTTTGCCAAAGTGAATTGTTTACGCAACCATTGACACCTTTTATTTCCAAAGAAAATATGTAATTCTCCCGCAATTGAATAAAATGCCCAACCATTGGTCTGCGCCAAATCGAAAAACTTTTATCTTTTGTGGCGTTCTAAAATGCACTCGAAACCCAGCATGTGCGAAATAGGCGATATCCTCGCAAGCCTGCATCCCATCTTCGGAAGGGCTCGCATGAGATTTTCCTAAAATGGTTTCAAAGCGATATCAGCTATGCCAGAACTAATTCAGATAAGTGAAATGTTTGGACTATTGAATCTTGAAATTACGCCAACTTTGACAATCACAGGAAACGGTTTGGCTCAAGTTTCAATTGACACAACCGGCGGTTCTCCACACCAAAAAAATATGCAACATTGAAATATTCTTAGATTGAAGTTACGAAAGTAAAAATGGGGGCTTCACTCAAGGTCAAGGTACTCCCTTTCTACTCGGTTTAACCTTGAAAGGTGACGTTTTCTACTTAATATGCTACGATAAGAGTAAACGTGTGGACGTTAAAAACGTGAATCGTAAAAATGGATATGTGTTGGACCTAAAGGTATCTTCGCTTTCGAACGTAACGTAGATATTTGGCACGAGATATACATGTCAGTCGTTCGCCGAAGCAGGTGCATAATCCCTGCATCGGGCGCCACCAAACTCGATTTAAATGCGTGTTTAATTTGCAGCAAACAGCAGCAAATAAATCATATTACTCGATGTATAATTAATTTAACGAGCATCGAATTTGTTCATCCCGAATATCAGAATAAATTAGTGTTTGTGATAATTGCGCAAGTTTTGTCCCTGGGGAGGGCCGACACGGCACGTAGCCGTACGTATTTCATTAAGATGTAAATTTTTCTCAAAGACTGAAGTCCTTTAG